CAGCGGGTGTGTATCATTAGGTCAGACATGCATCACTATAATTGACATTGCATTTCATTGCATTGCACATTTTTATTATTAATGAACTTGATCTTGTGTGTTGTTGATCTTGTGAGTGCCTTTCTATGGAACTTGTGACTGACGAATATTGAGGTGTTATTGAGAATATATGACCTGTTAGAGTGCTATTGTTGAGTTGTATGCTTTGTAAATTGTAAATTGTTAGGTTGGGTTGGTTTTATGCAGGTTGTAGTTATGGAGGTTAGGATGGGGTGTAAGGAGTACCCGTATTCTGTACTCTTAGCTTGTGTTTAGAGGTTTGCTTGTTGAGTACCGTGTGGTTTGGTACTCACCCCTTGCTTCTACAATCTTTTGTAGGTTACGAGCCCGGATCTTCGTGATACCTTCAATTCTCTTCGTTTCCGAGGTTTTCTGTGGAGATCTGAGAGGTAGTTGTTTGTCATCTCAGCGAACCTTCTTACTCCTGTTTATGATTTTGTTTTTACTTGAAAGACAACGTCATTTGAGACTTGCGTATTTTCTTTCAATTCTAGTATTTACATTAGAGGCTTGTGCACGTGACAACCAGGTTTTGGGGATTGAATTAAGTTGACTTGTTTTCGTAATAGTAATTGCTATTGAACTTTGCTTTATTTCCGCACTTTATCGAAATGATTGGGTTTTAGGCTGACTTGTCTTGGTGGGATACGACGAGTGCCATCACATCCATTTTTGGGTCGTGACAGCTAAAGCATCATTTATGTATTACAAAACACAACTAGTTGAGTAGATGATGATTTCAAGTAGAAAGATGGAACAACGACTGATAATTGACCTAGTCAGCTTAAGGTGTGTTTTAATACATATATAGATGATGATGGTTCATGAAGGAAAAGAGAACAATTAATAGTTAAAGTGAGAAACTATTAACTCTTATCGTTATATCTAATTTGTAATAAGTATATATAGATAAGTGCATGTGTGTATACAAACATAAATTCAAGTAGAGGACAATGAGTGTAATTATGCCTAGCTTTTACACTTCTTGTACCATATTGGTTCATGATGGTGGATGAAATTTACATAAAATTGTGAAAGAAAAAAGTAAGGAGGCTTTAGCTTTTAAGCAAAGGTATATGGATATTACTACAAGGTATTATTTTTTATGTGAAAGGCTAAAGTTTAAAGTCAATAGTTGATAATAAGTAGTGATGTTTAGCCGAAAGCACGTTCTCTTGGGGGCCAAAAGGAAAAAATTTCAATGTATCAGATAGAATTAATTAAAATGTATGAAGATTTTCAAAATGTTGACTAATTGTGGTTACCTATTGAAGTTGATATTTGATTAGGTGTTGTTTTTTTCTACTTAAGTATACTTTCCCTTTCTGAATAAATTACAACTCCATAAATTAACCACACCAAAGGTGAAAGAAATAATCATTACATTCATCTCTAATACATTAATAACTCGGTGTCTGCTATTTGTATTAGAGACTCAACTAATTTGGATTTGCATCACGTAAGATCCATTTGAGGGGAAACACTCCCTGACAGAACTTTAAACATTATTAGAGCTCAAACTCAAAATTTCTAATTAAAAATGAAAAGATCGTATTCATCTCATCACAATTCACGTTCTAATACATTATAAGTCACATTCATAAGCAAACCTACTAAAGGACTTCAACTACAATCAAACCAAACAAAATTCCATTGGAATGATCTATTGTCTAACTAGTCAACAAGTCAATTTTTATCATTATTTTCCCCTCCAATTTTGCTTTAATGAAGAAAAAAATACGGTATTAAATATTGCCATTAGAGGAGAATGTCCAAAGTGGATAATAATAAGTACTATAAATTAAACAATTAATCTATATGCTAGCCACATCAAGATTCCACCTTAAGATATGCATGCAAACAAAAACACATAGGTTTAATTAGTTACATATGAACGTGCTTAATTTTATAATATTACATGTTCATTGTAGAAGTATATAAAAAATTAGCAACAAGCTAAGTTAAGTTTATCTGATTAGCAAACAACATATCCTTTTGAAATTAGTATAAATTAAGTACCCCACGAGTGATTAATTTATTACAATTGGAAACTTCTGAGAACAAACCCTTGGATCACTACTTTTTTGGGATGACAAAAGGACTAGCAATTGGCATCTTTGCTTTGTTTGCATATTGAAAATTTGAAATGGTTGACAAAACTTTTTTCTATTTATTGTCCTTTATTGTTTGGTAGTGTTTGGCTGCTTATAATTGGAGCATATACAACTTTAGTCTTTAGTGAGCTAGATTGCATATTTATGCACTTCCTTTATAGATAAAATAATTACACATTGACATGACTCTGAATTCTCCGAATTCTAATGCGAGTATTGAATATCGAATAGAAAATTATTTCCTTGGATATATATACGAGATACATATCATCATATTAGGTATAATTTGTTTAAGATACATTTGTATTCATGTGTAATTCGCATTTATCTAAGATACACCGACTGTCTTGTTTGCCTCTCTATCAGTATTTCAGAATGTATCTGAGTTGCAAAATTTATGTGTATGTGTATTTAGTATCAATTTCATGTATCTGTGTATCCAAAATCAATTTCATCTAGTGTATTTGATGACAATTTCATGTATGTGGTATCAAATATTTTGTATATTCGTGCTTTTTAAACATGTATCTGATATCAAGGGAGAGAGAGGAGGAAAGAGGGAGAGAGCGAGCGAGAGAAAGGGGAGGAGAATGAAACTATGTAATTATCACAAAAATATAGTGAGATTTAATCTATATGAATATGATAGGAATATTTGTCTAATTAGATAGTTTTTTCAAAAATAAAATGAAAAATCCCAGGCGAGCAATTTGGCAAGGCCAGAGCTATCTTTGGGCTAAAGCCCATGGCAAACTGGTAGTTCATACATCATGACCATTGGAACCATTTGCACTTTTGTCCCTAATTTTGTGTTATGTCTTTAATTTTTAGCGTTCAGGATAAAAAAAATTTAATAGTCATAAGTTTATATTTTTACATCATAATATTTCACAAGTTATACCTCGCATCCTTAAAAAAAACTTATGTATCACTAGGCATAAATTCAATTTCTAAGATTAAACATTAAAAACAGCTCATTCAAAGAATAAAAATGAAAAATCAACCTATTTAAAGGACAAACCGTGCAATTACTTCATACCATAGCTTCGAGGTCGAAAATTGAAATTGTAACATTTTAAAACTGAGATTAAAAGAGATCATATCTAACTTAGGTTTTTTTTTTTAATCAAAACTAACTTAGGTTACTTTCTACATTCCTAAATACAAACTATCAAGATCCCAAGTGAGAAATTGGCCCAAAGATAAAGTTTGGGCCAAGATAACGTCTGATATACAAGACTTAAACATTTGCTGGCTATTTTGTAAACTAGATTACCGAAGACTTACACGGGTATCTCTTTTTTTGGCCCATCATTTTGATTTTGTCTCCTTAGGAAATTATCTTTCTGAAATATCAGACTCGGATCTAATATTTATTTATACACCATTCACCCTTACATAAACAACTTTAATTTGTCATCAAAATTTACCTCAACTTACAAAGTTTCAAATTACTATATGATTTAACGTTTTCTTACAAGTCTTTTTAGGTATGGAAGATAGTGACATATATGTATACATGTATAAGATGTATATTTTTTTGGTATCTCATAAATACAAGTGACATACAATGACATACAAGTTGGTTGTTGGAGTAGTTTGTGGTGATGATTGGTTGTAGAATGTGTATGTAGTGATTATTTGAAGTGTGTGTGAAATATATGTAAGTTATATGCGTGACACTTTAGTTGAGTGAACCAATAGCGAAAGTGTGTGTTGTATGTATGTAAAGTGCATGTAAATTGAGAGAAATGACCCAAAGAGAAAAGTGACGAGTGAGATAGGAGATAGGTGAATGAGAGAGTCAGATACATGCGATCACTTGAATACAATATATTTAAAACTAATTACATCTTATTTTGACCCTATGTATCCAAGATACATCATACATGTATCTAAACACACCAGATACACATTCAAAATCTAAAATTAGGTAAAAATCGTAATATAGGAAATAAACGTAAATTTAAGTAATTCGCTTCTAAACTAATGAGATTTCTATAAGTTACATTATCAGTGTGATTTCAGTTATGATAAAATATAGTGTGTATATATATATATTCTGTTGAGTTTTGGAAAAAAGAAAAATCTCATTATGTTTTGCAAGAATGGAAGCTAGTAGCTCTATTTATGAAATTTTCCAAAATTTTATCGCCAACAAACCATAACCCATTTCAATAGAGTAAAAGTCTAAAATAGTCCCTTATTTTTGGGTAAAGACTCAAAGTCATTCTTGAGTTTTTACATAGAGTACTAATAGTCCCTCATGTTTATAGTATTGGTGCACTTTTAGTCCTCTATCAAATTTTTTCTTGTTTTTTAACATTCATTTTATCCACAATTTTATGATCAAAATGTTAATTCGTCTTTTTATATATCTAGTTGAAATAAATAACTTCATGTAGAGAAGCTGAGAAAAAGAACACTTTATTCTGTAAACTCTGAAATATTATTGTAGCTAAACTAAGAGCACCTTAACATATGACGTTGCAAGAAAAGAAAAATGTGTACCATTGCACGTGAAATCAACGTGATTAGCTTCTCAATTTTAGCCGCAATGATATTTTTACTAAACAAAATAAGATATTCTTCTTCTCACCTTCTCTCACATGAAGTTATTATTTTTTCTACATATATAAGAATACGATTAAACATTTCATACAAAAATTTGAAAAAGAATCAAAAGTTCATCAATATTACAAACAAGAGGGACTATTAGTACATTAGCGAAAACTCAAGGAAAAAACTATTTTGGGCTTTTTCTCCGTTTCAATACATGGGATTATATTTGCTTCAAATTTTGTTATTACAAAAAAATCTCAACAACAATGGCGCTTTACCTTCCAACTTTCACCATTGCAGCTGCTTCAATCTTGAATCATTCAATCCAACACAAACCCAAAACCTCTCTTCAGCTTCACTTCTCAAAACCCATCTCAAGAAATCACTTGTCAGTTCCTCACAGCTCAACACAGACTCAGAAATACGTCTATCCTGACCCAATCCCTGAATTTGCTGTTGCTGTAACTCATTCCTCTTTTCTATAACTGAAATTTTAACCCTTTAATTAGAAGAATAGTAATAACTACTCACTGCTGTAACTTAATTTGCGGATTATTTGATTTAATTGCAAATCCCTAATTTGTTATACCAGTAAAGGAATGAAATGAGCCTGAGTACAGTAGAGTGAATGTAAAAGATTCATATAGAGGAACCTAACTTGTTTTGGAATTGTGCCTATAGTTTCCTTGAGTCGAGAGTCTAACAGAAACAACCTCTGTATCACTATGGTACTATGTGTGTACGCTCTATCTAGCCTCTCCAGACCCCACTTTGTACGACTAGTTGTATGGTAAGAATGACATATGGCTTTGGACTATTTTATCTTGAGTCAATGGCCTATTGGAAACAGTTTCTCTGAGGTTGAGGTAATGCTGTATACTGACCTCCTCAAACTTCACTTTGTGGGACTAGACTGAGTATGTTGTTGTTGTTGTATGGTAGAATGACATGGGGTTAAATAGAGTAACTGGCTTGAAATTGAGTATTTTTTTTTCGTTGTTGTTTAAGTTTATTAATTGATAGAATTGGGAATCCATGTTTGCCTTTAAAAGATAAGTTCTTTATATGTATTGGAATGCATTTACTATTCTTATAGTCTGAAATAACTAGTTTGGTATTGTGACATAGTTTATTGTCTCATATTGTAATTTATTTGTGAAATGTAGGAGACTAAGAAGTTCAGGGTGGAGCTCTTGAAGAAACTGTCCAAGGAAAAGGAGATTCTTGGAGATGAACTTGATGATGTTGTTAGTGTTTGTGCTGAGGTAAGGCTTTCTAATGACAGCTTTCCATGTTAGAAAGAATCCCTTTTTCTATAAGGTAGTAACAAAATGGGAACTGGATACCTCATGAATTGTTTGATCAAATGTCTAAGTGAAACATATAGCTAGATTTATTAGGATAGTATTAATCATAAGGGGTACAACAACAACAACAACATTCCACTGTAGTCTCACAAATTAGGGTCTAGGGAGGGTACGGTAGAGCGGAAGCGAACCTTACCCCTACCTCAGAGGTGGAGATTTTATTTCCGATAGACCTCTGGCGTAAGAGAAACAATCCAAAGCAGTCAAGAAAGAGGATAGATGTAGGTGAAAGCATAACAAAGCATTCTGAACCGTAACTATTAATCATAAAGGATATTCAACTAAATTACTCTTTTTCTCATCTTCCAATGAGTAACTAATGGCTAATCTGCCGCTTCAGATTTGTCCTCTCCTATAAAGAAATGAAAAAACAATTTTTTCCTAAAATCTTGTCAACCTCTGATCAAAAAGATATTCCTTATGTTTCATTTCTTTAAATAGTTTAGTAATGAACATAATGGCCTTATTGTTCCAATGGAGAGAAGAATCTGTGATTTCCAAATGAACAATTTCAACAAAATCTCTGAATTTCTTATTCAAATATGTTCAACTCTATGTATTCCTCTATCTGCCGAGTCTAGGTTTTTTTTTTTTTTTTTTTTTTTGTCGTCAAAAAGAAATAAAATTTGATCAATTTTTTTTAAGCTAAAGTGATAGATAAAAAGGACCGGAGGGAGTAGTAGATGTAGAACACTAGGCATGTGTTTAGAACTATCATTGAATATGTAAAGATGCATTTTTAGTCCTTGCTTTAAATACCAACATTTGAATTAATATACTTATCTACGAAGAGATTGCAATGTTGCGAGGTACACATGTTTTATCGACTAAGATGTAAATTCTAGGTCGATTAAATAGCACAACTGAATTTCGTAGTGTTTTTAAAGTGTACTGGTTTTCAAACGAGAGAATTCCAAGAAATTTGGACAGGATTGCATATATAAGATTTAATAGGTAACTGTTGCTTATGGCAGAGAAGAGTTATGGGGTTGTTATATCTCAGACAAGATATCCATTTCGTCCCTATAGTTCTTGATAGTTTCATGTAGGATGAAGAGAAAAGCATAAGAAACTGATGTAAAAGGATCTGATTTCATTAAACATGGCAAAACTAAAGATTTATTTGTAGCAAGATGCAATAAACTGGAAGTGAGTGCTTGGCAGATATGTCGTAGTTTTACTATATTTTGAACATACAACCATGGATCGATTACTTTGAAGGGGTGGAATCGGAGCTTATAGCATTGAAAAGAACAATTTTATCAGTTTTGATTCGGATGTTAGTAGATAAGCGCATCTCAAGCTGGCTGAACAGGTGCAATAAGTTCTACTTGCTACATACTTGAAATTAAATCGGGCTTGAGCATTAGGGAGTTCATCCAGTTAAGTCTATCAGTATCATAAAGTTGTCTTCCAATTGATGCTACAGCACTGACGTGTTTTTGTGGAGTTTTTGAAGATAAAAAACAGAATTCATGTACTTGCTGTATATGGTCCTCATTTGATATAAAGTTTGGTTTGGTTAATGCTATGTGGAGAGCACAAGAGGAATGTACTACAAAGTCAAAAGTAAACTTATCAATGGTTGCTAGTATTAACTGGCTAATTTAAACGCATCTAGTGGTCTATAAGGACAGATTTTACAACAACAACATAGCCAGAGGGTAGAGTGTGTGCAGACCTTACACCTAACTTGTGGAGGCAGAGCAACTGTTTCCAAAAGACCCTTAGCTCAAGTAACGCATAGTAAAGCTATAAGGACAGATAGCTTAGATGCATCTTTGCCGAGTTTACATTACATAACATGCAAAAGTTCTTGTAGCTTTTTCCTTTTATAAGAAGTTGTGAACTCTTTTGCTAACCTATAACATTAAAAGAGTATTTGGTTAAGAAACTTATTTTTTCTTTTGCTAACCTATAACATTAAAAGAGTATTTGGTTAAGAAACTTATTTTCTCTTTTGCTAACCTAAGGATGAGGATGACTTTTACTCCAACAAATATGATTAGGTGTGAGTGTGACTAACTTAGTTTGAATTTCTTTTCCTTCATCATTTATTTGGTTTGTCAAGATTTAGATGTTTCATTTAATGAAAGCATGTAGTATGTTGGACTGTTGGTAATTGGACCTATTAAAGAAATAGTACCAATAGAGAATTGGGCAATGAATATGAGAAAGGGGAAGCCCGGTGCATTAAACTCTCGCTAATGCACATGAGAATGAAAGAAAATTCAATATTGTCAACATAATTTGACTTTTTTGTAGTAGTTTGGCTTGTAAGCAGTAGATTGATATGCTAACCACCTCTCTCAATATTGAATGCTCTAATTAAAATGTGCTGACTTTGATTAGATCTGGAGATAATCAAAACCAATCACAGTCAGCACCTTTTTGGCACTTTGGGGTACGGTATTTATTATGCATTTTCAAGAATTTGGTATTCAATATCGTATTTGGTGTTCATAGATTATTTTTTTTGAAATATCGGATACCATACTGAAAAACTTGCTTCCGTATACAATTGATGTATACCATATTATTGTATAGATAATAAAAATTCAATTAATCTGAATATAAATTATTAAAAGGCCTAAATCCCTTAAGACCAAAAGTATCTTGCTTTTACCACTACATATAAACTACTGAATACCGAACCCTGCTGAATCACTTAGACCAGGAAAGCTGTGTAAAAAATTGAAAGCTGCTGGTTTTACTTTCTTTCTTAAGTTGGGGGAGGAAACGGCTTTTAGTTAGATTGAGTTCATAAGTTCCCGAACACAGTTTCAATTTGTTTGTCTGACTTTCTTTTTTAGTCTGTTTAAAAAAGAATGTCTCTTTCACTTTTTGACAACTTCTTAATTCCAACTGACATGTTTAAGATCACAAAGATTAAAGGACGTTTTAGGTATCTTTAGTTTAAAATCACAAGATTCAAAAGTCTTTGTTCACTTTCTTTAAGTTCCGTGCAAAATCAAAATAAGAGAAACAAATTGAAACAAGGTGACTAAAACACTAGCACTACCACCCATTATGATCTTTGATATAATTGTATATAATATCATGTTTATTGGTACGTATAATCTGACTTGTTTCTGACCTGGAAATGGTACAATGATTGTCATTTGAAAGTAGTATCTGGTACTCCTACTTGTCATACAATTGAAACATAGATAAACAGTTAATATCAAGCTGTACTTGGTCTTTTGTGCCACCAATGCTGGCATTTTCTAGAATAAACTAACACTTATTATATGATGCTTTTTTACTTTCATGAGTACTTAAAATATATAGTTGGTTTGTTATTCACTAGCTTGAGTTGTTACTTAAATCAGATTTTTAATGAATTCTTGCACAAAGAATATGGAGGACCTGGGACACTACTTGTGGAGCCTTTTACTGATATGATGGTAGCTCTCAAAGAGAGGAAACTTTCAGGAGCGGCATCGGCTGCACGAGCATCACTATTATGGGCTCAAAATTATGTTGATCAAGATTGGGAGACTTGGAACTCAAAACACCTAAGCTAACGAATAAGGAATCATGGTTTATCTTCAAAGTTATCCCGTAACTGTGTTGGTGAAAGATAACAGGTATCTGGTGGAATAGTCGAGGTGCACAACTATCGTTTGCAAAAAAAAAAAAAAAAAAAAAGCAATGCTAGAATTCCGGAGAATATGTATTTTCCATTATAGGATGTTCTTTCTATCAAGGTAGAGTTAGTAGTAGTTCCATTTCTCTTCTATACAAAAGCATTATTGCTCAACATCCCTCATGAACTTAGACAATTGGATGAACAAGACATTAGAACCACCAACTTCTGTGAATTCCTTGTGCATATCTTCCATGATTTTAGAAGTCCTCCGTTGTCCGGTGATCGAGTTGGCAACATTCATTAGCTATTGGACTCAGAGATACTCTGTAAACTCGGACGCCATGATTTGGACCTTGAAGCAGCAGCTAAGTTTGTTGTTCCAGGTCTTTGCCTGTTTCCTTCATGTCTTATAGCCTGCAAATGATCAACTCTATCTAATTAGTAAACTTGATAGTCACTTTCATGTTCTCAACTATTGAATTCTTGAGAATATGTACAATTTACAAGTGATTAGTTCAAAAGTATTAATTACCTTGTTCTTATCTGCTTCAGAGTTTCGAGCTTCAAGTTCACAGCTTGACCTTTGATTTTCTTGTAACTCTGGCTGATTCTTCTTCATCTTTGCATGTTTCTTAGCTCTCAATACCTTCATCACCTCTGTAATCAAGAATAAAGAATTAGCCTTTTGAGTACCAATTTTGCATTTGATCAAAGAATCACATCACATCTCTCTCTCTCTCACACACACACACATATATATGTATATTACCTTGTGTTGTGACAAGTCTATAAGCTCTGCCAAGGACTAAAGTATCCGTTGGCCGGAGAAGCTTAACGCGTGTGAAACGAACAGTTTTATCATCGGAATTGTCATCGGAGGAGGAGATTGGAAGAGGGATTATGAGAGAAACATAGTGACCAGGGTTCATTTTCATAACTTCACTAGCTGTCATAGGCCAATACATCCTGTCTATCTTACCACTTGGATGTTGTATTACTAGTGCAGCTGCATCAACAGCCTGGCAATTCCCCATTTGGTTGTTTTTTTCTAATTCACTTTGTGAATGATGTTTGATTTCTCAGAAGAGGAGAAGAAGAAGAAGAAGATGGATAAGGAGGGAAGGAAGAAGGAAGGAAAGAAGGTTATGAAATAGACAAGAGTCTCTTTCCAAGCAGTGCCCACTTTCTTTGTGTGTTTGTGTGTGTGGTAAAATAGGTCTCTCTCAAGCTAGCCTAGCAATACCCTCCCTTCCTCAACTAACTTATATAGTAGTTATATGTAAGCCACCCAAAAGGATAAATAAAATTTTAAAAAGATTATATAAGTAGTATACAAAAAAAAAAAGTGATTAAGCAAGCTCACTTTTTGATGTTCTAGTGGTCCAACAAAGTGTGTTCAGAATTAGAGGTTTCAGGTTCGAATTTCAGCAATAACAAAAAAAATATTAGGAGTTTGGCAATTGGTATGATGATTTCTGTAAAATGTTTTCAATTTTCTCATGTTCGTTGGTCAGATATTTTGAAAAACAAACTCTTTAAAAAATGAGGAAAAATAATGTTTTCTAATGAAAGTTGAAAAAATAAGTTGCATTAGTGACATTTCGTAATTATGTCTTTTCCACCCTCCAACACAACTCATCTTCTCCCTCAACCCCACTATCCCCACCCTTACCTCCCCATCTCTACCTCCCATAGTATTTGTTTGAATTATATTTAAATGCTGATAGGAATTTCGTTATCTACCGAAGGCAAGAAAAATAAGTAAAATATCCAGTTATTTTCCTTCGTATCAAATACACCTTAGATAATTTATTTCCATCTATCTTTAGCTAAGATAGACAGATAAAATCAAAAAATTCAATAGACTATCATCAAATTTTCTATAACAGTCATCCTCTATAATAGCATTTCACTGTAACAAATCATATTTATCTGTGAAATTAATCTTTCATGTTACCATGTTATGTTATATATTTTCTATCACAATTTCCCCACAATATATAAAATAATCATGACAAATGGTACTACGTAGACTCTTTTAAGTCTTACCTCTTCCAAATCCTAACAGTCCACTCAAACTTTTGTCAGGTGATCAGTTTACAGTACCTTTATAAAAATCTCAAATTGCACATTATAATAAACTTTAAAAATTAACAAAAATATAATAAGATGACGTCATCAACCGGCAGAGTCCTAGAATGCAGGTGAGCTTGCCACGTGGTTCAACGCCGAAGGGCCGGGATCTTGGACGGCCATGCCCGCCGGTGTCAACAAAGGACAAAAGAATTTCCATCATCAACCAAATAAAATAAGATAAAGTAATACTTCATTTGTTTCAATTTATACGATTCACTTTTTTTTAGTCAATATTAAAAAAAATTGAGGCATAAGTTTATAGTCAAACTTACTTTATGTCTTAAGTTTCAAAAGTTTTTTTATTCTTAAAATTTGATGTTAAGTTAAACTGTATCATATAAATTGAAACGTAGAAAATAATACTACCTTAACATGAAATAATAATGATATTTACAGGTCAATGCCTAGATATGAATGAAAAATAATTGAGAAAAACAAAATCAAGGCGTGTACCTGAGATTCTATTGTCGCCCCCATCTAACGTATACTCCTACTTACCCTATTTTTGAAAAATATCATTTGTCCGCGTATTTTTTTTAATTGTTATTGTGAAATATTACTATAATATAAAATATTGATTTCACCAAAAAATTATTTGATGAATATGTTTTCCAATAAAATTATCCTTAATAGTGATTTTATTTGTCCAAAGAAAATTATAGCATTGAAATTTCAATTTCGATTTAAATTATACGTGTATGATGTCACATTCTTTCATATTCATCCAACTAAGTCAAATTTTGGTTGTAGATTACTAGTGGGAATTATTGTTTTCAATTGATGCCCTCAACAAATTTATTTTCTCATGGCCTTGAAAATATCTTATGATTATTTTTTTTAGAGAAAAATTCGAGTCGAATTTTTAAAATAGTCACTCAATTAATATTTAAGAAAGTTTTTTTTTTTAAAGAAAACTACAATTAAAAAAAAGAAGAAGAAGATGACTTTATAGTAGTTGAGCGAGTAATCATCTAAAAAATCAACGCTATAATCCTTTAATATTTTCTCTTGATATATCGCCCGAACCTAATAAATATTATATATATATTATGGAATGAATGTCTTCTACCCATGCCTAATACATTTGCTGGAAGAACTTAAAAAATGATATATTTATTTGTCTTAAAAGCTAGACAAATCAAATGTGATTTTTTTTTGTTCTTTCTACACATGAAGAAATTAATTACAAAATAGACAGAATCAAAGTAGAATAATGAGGAGCATATAATTGAGAAAATTCTATATTAGAAAGGAGGTTTTCTCACATAATTAATAAGAAAAATGGAAATTCCAACTAGTGATATTATGATTATATTATTTGTGAATTATACTCTTCTTCTGTTTATATTTATTTGTCCATTTTAAATTTTATACATCTTTTAAAAAGTAACATTTCTATGAATATTTTATCATAAATTGAGACGAAAGATAGGACCTCTTTAATATACTTGGATAAAAAAGTCACATACACATTTTCGATTAAAGTAAAATTCTATAGTTATTCTTTTTTCACTATGATTCTAGCAAAATGTATGTAATCACTTTATTTCGATTCGAACATTTTATTTTATTTCTGCCGTCTTTCCATAAATTTCATTATCATAATTCATAATAATCTCTCGAAAAGTGTCGCTATTTATATGATTATTACTATCTGTAAAATGGATTAATATTAATGTGTCAATTAATCAATTATTGAAACATTATCATCAGACATAGACAAATTAATGTTTGGTAAAGTGGGCACGTATATTCGTGTGGTTGATGCTTAAACTCAATTAAACTTCAAGGTTTGAGGCCAAATTATTGTAAATAATAAAGTGAAACTCATAATTAAAGTATACACCACCATCTTTATACCTAGATTTTAAAACATATTAAGAAATGTATATATATATATATATATTGAAAGTTCAGTGTGATTCTTTGATGAACTCAAAAGTGGTTTCCACCACCATAAAGGGGGAAAAAAAGTTAATTTCTTGGTGAAGATGCTCTAATTAATTAGGTACCTATGAGGCAGTATTAAGAAGTTGATTAAAGTCACCTATAGGCTTATGATAATTAAGTACTCTTTTGTCTTTAACTAGAAATTTTAAGTTTGAGTTCTGAATAAGAAATCGTTTTTGTTATAGAGTATTTTTTTTCAATTACAATATTTTTTTATGTGAATCTAAAAATATATATTCAAATCTCAATATGAATAGCTCCCAATGACAGGTTCTTATTTGTTACTCACCCGTCCGCCATTGAAAACACCGTTTTCCGTCCGACTTGCATGTGTTTAATATCCGAATTCGAAAAAAAAGTTTAACTAAAGTCATTTTAGAGTATGTAGGAAGTGATTAGAAATTTTAATTCAAAGATACTTGATTAATTAATTTAACTAATACACAAAAATATGGGGAATTTTAGTACTAATTAAGGCGGTGGCCATTGCTAAAATGTCCACATTTTCCAACTTCCCAAAATTAGCATATTTTTAGACAAAAATGTCAAACTTAACCGAGAATCTAGATCTTAGAGATCATAGAAGAATACTTAGAAGAAAAGTAACTCGAGGCATTAATAACTTGTTCACTGTCGGGAAATTTTAGTAGCTCAATCGGTTGATTATATGAGCTTTTATCTTATTGATAAGAGTTTAATTTTCTATTCTGTTACCTTTTTTTTTAGAGGGTGTTTGGATTGACTTAAAAGTAGGTCAAATCTACTTTTAAGCCGGTTTTTGACTTCTGAAAGTATTTGACAAATATAAAAGAAATAACTTAAAATAAGTCAAAAAAAGACTTTAAATAAGTTA